CAGGAGGAGGGGGGGGGGGAGAGATAGTTTCACATGTGCACCCGCTACTTATACAAATGTGTACTTCATGCACTTGCACACCTGCCCATGACTTGTATTCTCATGTAGGGATAAGGGTGACTTATTCTGAGGCACTTTTTTAGTCCTGAAATTCAGTCAAGGGACTTAGCCAGAATCCCTAGGATGCTACCATGCTAATAAAGGCTGATCATTGTTCATGGTTTATAAAGGCTGAATCTCTACCTTGCCTTTTTGACTTTTAAGGACCTGATGATTCTTCAGTTGCTTCTGTTATCTTTCTGAGCCAACAGTGCCATCTTATGGTAGCCTATTAACAATGCAGTTGTTGCAATATTCCCACGGGCCCCACTCCCCCTGCTTACGTCATTCTATAGCCTGGATTTCTTTGGCATTGGGGCCAAGAAAGTAGTATAAAAGTCATCCAAATTTTAATTTCCCTTCAAAGTCTTGTGACTACTTGAGCTTTTCACTTTAAGTCCACCACCCAGCAAAAGTAAAATAAAAGCTTTTTGAATTCACACTGCTCTATTGAATATCTCTTTTTTGCTATTTGATTGAGCCACAGTGACCTCTATTGGTTAGTTATGAAATTAATATACAGTACCATATTGTACTAACTCTCGTCTCTCTCAAAAATCCATTCCAAACCTTTTAACTGCTGGAATATAATACGGATCTGTCCACAGACAGGATTTGGAATATTAATTGCATGTCAGGGTACAAAGCTTTTGTTTTCTGTAGCAGAAAACCAAATGGGGTTCTTTTGTTTGTACATGGTTTCAGTAAAAATCATTAGCCATAAAAGACAATGCAGGAGGAAAGACTTCAGCCAATAAAGCAATTTTATTACAGTCTTAGGCCAGCATATATAGCTAAAGTCCTGTCTGTTTCATAAATATAGGAGGAAAAATCATTGTGGTGGGGAATTGATACAATATACCTAAAAACCATTATTATTTTACTATTCTTTTTCCATTTCTGCCTGAAAGTACATCTAAAGGCAAGTGGAAGAGAATATTTTTCCCCGCTTGCTGCTATCCGATAGAAGCTGTTCAGAAGTGAGTACAATGGCGGGATTCAGCCAGTTCGCACCTATTCGGGAGAACCGGTTGTTAACTTTCTAAGCAGCTCAGAGAATTGGTTGTTGGA